GTCAGTCTCTTACTTTCCAGAAGACGAAGTTGGAGTTTAAGGAGAAAGAGAAGCAAGTTTGCAAGCACGTGGCCATTTAAGTGGAGTTAGAATAATCACTCCCCAAGACCACCAATGTTTTCCCCTTGCCACAGTTAAAGCCTGGCTCCTTCTGGTGGAATCCAAAGACCATCAACCTCACCGGGTGAAATCGGAAATCTATTCCCCGACCAATTTGCAGTTACTGGATTACAACCTTAACAAACCCCTTAACAACACTTCTTGGTGACTCCTATTTAAGTTAAATTTGAGAGTCGCTAATTTTCTCCCTCATGTCTTAGGAATTAAATACTCATGATGAATATTGCACTGGTGTGTGTGTGTGTGTGTGTGTGTGTGTGTGTGTGTGTGTGTTCTGGTACTAGGGCTTCGATTTAGGATCCTTTCCCCTTTTTGGGTCTCAAATGTTTGTTCAAGATCAGCCTCAGAACAAAACCTTACTATCTATATTTTTACATGGTACTATGGATTGTATATAGGGCCTTACACCTTCCTTACCACTTAAATCAAGTCTCTAGCCATCTACCCTCCTACTTCTGTGGCCAGTGTAGATAGGATTACAGGTATATAATTACCATGTCCAGCTAGTTTGTAGAGATAGGATCTCACTAACTTCTTTGCCTGGCCTGGCCTCAAACTTCCATCCTCCTATCTCTGCCTCCTGTTTATTCTTCTGCCTCTTCTTAGAGGCATGAGATACACCCCCAAAAATCTATATAACAGAATTGTTTTTTTAGTTTAAGAGGAAAATATAAAACTTACTAAAATATCAATAGATTCCACTATATAAATCAAACTGAAACCATCTTTATTTTCCTATAGAAAGAAAGTGGAAAAAAGTATTATTATCAAATATCTCTAAATGTAATATCTCTTGTCTATATCTACATATAGACAAGCCCTATAGAAATATAAACAAAAAACATGAACAGGTAAGACTTGGAGATATTCTAAAGAAACATTCAAAGGAATACACAAAGAAATTGATCCAAAAGATGGCACACTGATAGTTTATCACGGTTTCAAAGGACTGAAAATGGCACGTGTAGGCAGGGTCTGTAGAAGTGAATATTCATGTATTCTTGATGGAAATATCTCTTCTGGAAAAGAGTCCAGAACCCATGGCTAAACCTCAAATATGAATTGCCATAGGGAGGGAGTCTTGCCATTTTACTAAAGTAGAGCAACCTGTGTACAAATATGTCCATTGTAGCATTGCTCATATTAAAAAACAAAAAGGTACCATAGAGACAGGCACTGGTGGCTTGCACCTGTAATCCTAGTCACTCTGGAGACTGAGATCTCAGCATCACAGTTCAAATCCAGCCCAGGCAAAAAAGTCCATAAGATTCTTATTGCCAATTATCCATCAAAAAGCCAGGTGAGGATCAAGTGGTAGAGTGTCAGACCTCAGCAAAAAAAAGCTGCAAGAGCATGAGGCCCTGAGTTCAAGCCCCAGTGCTGTCCTTAAGCTTTTTTTGCTCAAGGCTAGCAGTCTACCTCTTAAGCCACAGCGCCACTTCTGGCTTTTTCTGAGTTTAATGGACATAAGAATCTCACACTTTCCTTCCCCAGCTGGCTTCAAACCATGATCCTCAGATTTCAGCTTCTTGAATACCTAGGATTAAAGGGGTGAATCACTAGCACCCTGCTAGTATTAACATATTTAATGGAGTACACAGAAACTAGTTTTCTTAAGGATACTTTGAGCACTAATCTAAACTATGGCATAACTACAAAAGAAATTTCAGATAACAGATCATTTTTATTTTACTTTTGATAATTAATTTTTAAAGATGTTAAATTGAAATTGAAGAGGCAGTTATATAAAAGCCAATCAATCAGAAAATCTAAAGTACATACTGAAAAAATATTCAACAAAACAGAAAAATCTTACTTGTTTTCTCATCATTTTCACTGTTAGTCAGAGAAACAGATCCATTTCCTTGGTTTATGCTACTCATCAAAATCTGTTGTAGTTGGTCTTGTGTTAGACACACCAAACTGCTACTCATGTTTTCAGTTCTGTCGTGTTTTTTATGAGGCTTCTCTTTAATTACTAAAGATGGATTTATGGTGTTTCCAGTCTTCTTTAGGGGTTAAAGATGATACTTCTGTTTGGATATGAAGACAGTCTTTATCTTCATACTGCTTATATAAATCCTTAGTGGGTGTAACTGTCATTCTATTCTTTTCACTTTTTGACTGTGACGTTTCTGAACCAACTGTCATCTTTTGCAAGTTTTTCACTCCAAATATAAGAATTTTGTGTTGACTTTAGAAGGTGTCCAGTGTGCTTTGTTCTTAAAGGACATTTTGTAATCTTGCTCTTATTTCCCATCTGTTAAAAAAAAAACTGTTTATTTTTTTCATGTACTGCTGTCTTGGAAAAATAAACTTTTGTGGTTGTCATTGTTGTTTGAGACAGGGTCTCATGATGCAGCCCAAGCTGGCCTAGAACTCCTAATACTTTACCTCTGCCTTTAGAGTGCTGCGATTAAGACGTGTACTACACCCTAACGATTTTCTCTTATCTTGACGTTGTAACTACCCACAACTGTAGCTTGTCCATAACCTCAATTTCAATTATTGAAAAACTATCATCTAATTTTTTTCCAACTCACTTCCTGCCATATCCCAATTCCAACAATCTTCATCTGGACTAGGGTGTGTAATCTGTTGATACTACATTTCTCTGGCTCCCATTTCCCTTCTTAACAATCTTAAACCTTATTTTTCCATTTTTTGCTTTGTTTTCTGTCACAAATACTTAGCAAATCCCATCTCTGGCAAGACAACTTTACAAGTCTGTAACTTCACCCGCAGAGAAAAATAGCCATGCTAACTGGTTTCACTTAAACTTATAACCAAGAACATAAGCAAACAGAGAACCAATACACATTACACATGAAATCTATCATAATACTAAATTTTATGCATCTGAAAACTGACAGCAGAAAGCACGGATGTCTTTTGACTTTACTTGGCTAAAATGAATTTGAAGAAGTGGGGAAAACAGCTTTTTCAATGTATCTAAATATCACTTTATTTCAAGTAAATAATATTGCTAAATATCATAAATTTTATGTAGGAATTTTGAAGTCAATATTTCAGATTTCCAGTTACACAGCATACCATATAGAGATAATATTAACTTGGTTTTTCCATCCAGCAGTTCAGTTTCCAACTTTAAACCATCTCTGCAACATGAAAAAAGGTGTGTCATTATTAAGAAAGAGCAATGTTTTAAATAGCCTGAACTTTGAAAGTATATCTATTCCTTTGAAAATATAGGATAGGAATATTGTACATATCAGAACAGTCTTTTAATTTAAAATGGTTTTCACTCCACAGGAAAACTACAGGGAGGAAAAATTTTCTTAAAAACTTTCAATAGGGACTGGGAGGTGGCTCAGTGGTAGAGTGCTTGCCTTGCATGAATAAGGCCCTAGGTTCCATTGCTCAGCACCACATAAGCAAAAAGAAAAAAGCGGGAAGTGGTGCTGTGGCTCAAGTGGTAGAGCACTAGCCTTGAGCTGAAGAGCTGAGGGACAGCGCCAGGCCCAGAGTTCAGGCCCCATGACTGGACCCCCAAAAAAATTTAAAAAAAAACAACTTTTCAATAATCCAAGAATTTGTCATCTTCAAAATGCAATCTCATTTTTATAGTTGGTAAGCAATAATTAGTTATCATACTATTTTTCTGGATCAGTTGTGGGGTTTGAATTCAGTCCCTGGACACTGTACCTGAGTTTATTCACACAAAGCTAGCAATCTTTGAGCTACACTTCCGGTTTTCTGGGTTAATTAGAAATGAGTCTCATGGACTTTCTAGGCTGGCTTTGAACTGCAATCCTCAGATCTCAGCCTCCTGAGAAGCTAGGATTACAGGAATGAGCCACCAGCAACAGGTTTCATACTATCCTTTAACTTGTAGCTCTAGACTGAAAATAAAAAATAATGCTGTTACTAAAACTCTTCAAGTAGGTAATGGAACAAGGCAGATCTAGCTAACATTTATTGGTTTCATAATGATCTCTCTTGGCTAACATTCTGTGGAGTCCTGAAAATGATTGCTAATGTCACAAAGTTTTAGTTTTTGAGTATAGAGTTCCACTTTAAAAAGATATTTTTAATAATACATATTCACATTTACTAACTCTTTTGCTACTATCACGACAATACACATTGGCTACTATGATAGATCAATGCCAAAAGCATGAGCTTAAAAAATGGTGGGTACCTCCAACAACACTTGTGCACCTGCTACAGTCCTACACAAAAATTACACTAGAAATAAAAGTAGCATATTGTTAAAAAAAAAAAAAAGTGGAGGAAAAAAAAAATGTGCCAACACTATTTTGAGACAAAAGGCAGATAGAAAACCAAATCCAGTCTCAAAAGAGAAGGGCTGGGAAAGGTCAGATTACAAAAGCGAAATTTACAGCTTTGCCCAGGTAGAGAATACAAATTTTACCTCAGTATTTGTGGGTTGTTTTTTTTTTTTTTTGGGTCGGTCGTGGGGCTTGAACTCTGCACTTGTGCACTGTCCCTGAGCTCTTCAGCTCAAGGCGAGCGCTCTATTGCTTGAGCCACAGCACCACTTCCGGTGTTCTAGTGGTTAATTGGAGATAAGAGTCTCACGGACTTTCCTGCACGGGCTGGCTTTGAACCGCATCCTCAGGTCTCAGCCTCCTGAGGAGCTTGGATTACAGGCCTGAGCAACCGGCGTCCGGCTTACCTCAGTATTTGTTTATGGTAACCGACGCTAAAAGCTCATACCAGTAATCCTAGCCATTCAGAGGGTTTACATCTGAGAATCACGGTTCGAAGCCAGCGCAAGCAGGAAAGTCTGCGAGACTCTTATACCAATTAACAAGCAAAAAACCCAGAAGTGAAGCTGTGGCTCGAATGGTAGAGTGGCAGCCTTGCTCTAAAAATCTAAAGGGCAAATCCCAGTTCTGAACTCAACATCCTAGTACCAGCACCAAAAAAGAATAAAAATTAAAAAATTAAAGGTAATACACAGGAAAGAAGGAAGGAATTAGAAGTGTTTCTGTGGGGCAGATCCCGTTTGTGCTGGTGAAACTTAACCAAACAAAAAGAGATGTTGCCTGAAACTCCTCTCAATTCTGCACTTCACTGAGGCGTGGACTGATTTACAAATCCCTGATTGTACAGCACAGCATTCGTTCATCTGCTGCACCCGCGCGGTGAGGTCGGGTTGGTGGTTCGCAGGGATCCGCAGCGAGGCCGCTAGAGGCTGGGCGCTGTTAACTCCCGCCGGGACTCCCACGCACCAGTGCTAAGCTCCTCACCACGAGGTGAGCGAGGAGCGGGGGTCCGGGCCGGCTTCCTCCCCGCGAGGCCGCCAAGCTCGCCTCTCCCGCTGCCCCTCTCCTCCCGCTGCGTCAGCGGCGAATAACGGCACAGAAAGCGGCTCCGCGACAGCTCCCAGCAGAGGCGGGAAGGAAGCACGCGGCCTGCGGGGTGGGGAGACCGAGCGCCCTCCCCACTCCCCTCCACCCCCCGCCTCGCCACCGTGGGAGCTAGGCCCAGGGGCGCCGGCGCCGAAAACCACCCAGCACCAACCTAGCCCCACTCGCGACCACCCTCTGCGCCCCGACGAACCCCAAATGCATGGCCTGACCGCCGATTCTCTTTGCGGGTCTTGTGGTGTTCTACGGTGGCCGGCTCAGCTCAACGGGCGCTATTCCGATTGGATGAGGGAGGGCTGGCGAGCTAGGTGAGAGGGCCAATCAGAATGGAGGATGCGGGTGGGTTGTTCCGCGGGGGGGGGGGGGGGGGGGGGGGGTGGAGATGTTGGGAGACCTTTGCCCTAGAAGCAGAAGCTGGTGGACCAGGTTGAGCGGGCAGTTGAGACCTCTGCTCGTGGCAGTTGCCGGCCTTCAGCTTGAGTGGAGTTGGTAAAACTGGGAGGAACAAAAACTGTAAATGCTTTCATTTACATTCCTTATGCCGTCTGTTATCTTTGCAAGATTTATTTTGGTTCAACAACCACAACACAATGAGGCATATGGTGGGTGGGTGTCCTGCTGTGAACCTGACTCAAGCTGGACACATTGTAGCTCTTTTAAAGTACTGCTGCAAGAGGTTGAGGAGAAGGTTGGAAGGGATGACATTGATCAAGATGCACTGTACTCAAATTGCTATGCTGAATTGAAACCCCTTTGTGTAACTAAGGGTAAAGGAATGTTTTAGCAGTAGTCACAAGTGCTCAATAAATATAGGTGTTTGTGCACATGCACCAGACACACATCTAAGTGCTTATGGCTACGACTTAAGTCTTTATAACATCTCTGTGTCACAAGGAGGTTAAGTAACTTGCCTATCGCTACTGTCCATGGAACAATTTAACACCAGAGTCTATGTCTCCATCCAGTGTTGTGTGAGTGTGACTCATTGTAAAAATTACTTCCTTCAGGAATCCCTTCTGAAATATACGACTTGGGTAGATTATGGAAGTAGAGCAGTGACTCAACTGGTATAGATCGAGTCTTCAGTGAAAAAGCGCAGGGACAGTGCCTAAACACTGAGTTCAAGTCACAGAACCACCAGAAAACAAAAATAAAAATTTTGTGAGGGCTGGGAAGGTTGCTCAGTGGTAGAGCGCTTGCCTTGCATGCATGAGGCCCTGAGTTCGATTCCTCAGCACCACATAAGCAGAAAAAAAAAGCCGGAAGTGACTTTGTGGCTAAGTGGTAGAGCGCTAGCCTTGAGCTGAAGAGCTGAGGGACAGTGTCCAGCCCCAGAGTTCAGGCCCATAACTGGACCCCAAAAAACAGAAACCAAAACTCTCATGAAAGGATCCGTCATGTCCATTCCAGGGAACCACCCAGAGGCAAGTAGGCACAGGGGAAAGATTATAAGGTTTAATGGAGGAGCCATATTTCTCCTCAGAGGAAGCACATAGCCACTGTCCCTATCCAAGTAGCAGGAGGGTCTGGGGACAGGAAGGGAGTTAGGTGGGGGCTCAGGTGGGTCTGAGCGGAGAGAGGGAGTGGCCAGCTCTAGGGCAGGAACTCCAGGGCAGGGAGGAGCTCAGGTATGGGTGGAGCTGAGGCCCAAAGGTGGTCATAATGCTAACATTTCCCCACTTTGTTGTTTAATAAAAATAGTGCTACCAGGCTGGTGGTATAGGTGGAAGTTGTTTCTTCTATAGCTACTTCCTGCTATAAAGGGGCAAAGTAGAGGTTCCTGCTTTGTTGTTGGGCCGGAACCGTCCAAGAAGCATCTGCTTGACAGTTTGGTTGGTAAAGGTCCTCCTTTTTCCATGACAATAGTTATTTGAATTCCACGACACAATAAAAGCCAAAATTGTTGTTAAAGTAAAAATTGCTGTTAGTGGCCCAAGAGAGGAATAAGCCAGGGAGGGACTGATTCCCAGAAGGAGCTATCAAAGACCTGAAATTGTCTTTTTTGTCTTGGATTGGAGACATAGCATGTACCTGACTCCCAGTCATCCTGGTGGGGGGAGTAAGACCTTTTCTACTTTAGGATCACACTAACCTGAGGAGGAGGTAGCAGAGATATTTAAAAGTTCCAGAGCCAACAGGTGTCATGGGCTCTTTTGGGTACTTCCTGATGGCCTGGGGGCATCAAGGAGTCCCTGGAGCTGGGGTCTTTAGGGTCCCAGTCTAGGCTGAGCAAGGCAGAGCAGTGCAAGTGATGTCTCTGGTTGCCTGTAGTAACAGGATGGCTTTGACTTGTTCCCAGGTGATGTCCTGGGTGGGGGATTGTTCTCCTGTTAAAAGAAACTTTTGGAAAGGCTAGACAAAAAAGCTGACAAAGTGACAAGGTCAGTTAACATGAATGACATAGGAGAACATACACTGGCCGTGGGCCAGGAAAGTTCCATTTGGAGCATAAGCTCAGTTGTGGCCCATTAGAGGGAAGGAAGAATAACTGGACTCCAGGCAGGAAGGGGGTGTCTAGAGTCTTTTGGGCAACTGGGTAGGGGAGGCATAATGGACTAGTTGGGAGTACCAGTCAGAGACTACTATAAATACAAATAGCAGGTGGCAGAGGCAAGACTGTAACTTTCTGTCCAGTTAGAAGGTAGACAGGTATGGACATTGGATGGACAGGCAACTCTTTTTCTTATCTCCTGGCTCTGATTAATTTTGAAAGGATGAGTATAAAGTGAAGCTATTTAGGATATTATGTCCCCTTACTCCTCTCCATGATTTTCTGTTGTCAGGACTGACTTTGTCTTGGCTGTGTGTGTGTGGGTGGGGGGTGTGGAGGGGGGGGAAGGAGGGTCCTCAGCATCCATTGCTAGGATAGCTTGTACCAATTGGTATCTATCAGGTTTGGAGTCAAGGCTTGGGCATTGTCCTTGAACACTTTTGCTCGAGGCTAGTGCTCTACCACTTAGTCACACCACTTTTAGCCTTTGGTTGGATACTGAGTGGTAAGAGTTTCCAGCCATGCCTCCAGTCAGGCTCGTTGCTGATTAGCTGGGAGATGGAGTTTTAGAGAGATTGTGCCTGGGATGACATTGAACTGTGGCAAAAGGCGTCTTTGTCACAAAAGCCCTTTTTATTTCCAATTAAAGCAACAAGGAGATCAATAGCGATAGAGGTGACCTATAACTTGTTAACAATTGACTAACAATTACTTATCAGAGTTTTGTAATAACAAAACCCAGTAGATATTTTTTCAACTGAAACTTATTGGCAGTCTAAATACCACCCATTGCCTCTGGGCAGCCTGCTTAAAGTGGCTTATCAACATTTCACTTTTAACAAATGTACAGACATTTCTTGAGCTACAGCAGTGTAGCCTGTTTAGCACATAATCTCAGTTGTACAAACTTTTTCCTTACCAAATGAATTTATGTGACTGGAGTCAGCTCAAGTCACTGCCAATTAGGACTTTGAACAGATACAAGGAGTTTGGGACTAAAATTATCCCTCACATTTTACAACCTTAGCTTTGACTACCCACTCTCACAGATGACTGACATGTTCCTGCCCAGTTAGACATGGGCATTAGGCATGCTTACAGACTATCTTCCCATGACATCCTGGCTCTGATCAATTTTTGAAGGTCCAAGCATAAATGACTCCAGGATCTGACACCATTTTTGCCATCAGATGTGCTAACATTGCTGGGGTCCCGGGAGTACCTTTCTCCATGCTAGGATAAATGCATTTTGTCATTCTCCTCAGTCAGTTGCTAGACTTGAACTCAGGGTTTGAACACTGTCCCTCAGTTCTCCAGCTCAAGGCTAGCACTGTGCCACTTGGAGCTGCAAAGCAACTCCACTTTGGTCCTCAGCTCCACCCATTCCTGAGCTCTACCCTGCCCTGGAGTTCCTGCCCTACAGTTGGCCACTCCCTCTTTCTGCCCAGACCCACTGGAGCACCCACCTAACTTCCTGTCCCCAGATCTTCCTGCTACCTGCACAGGGAGGTGCCATGTGCTCCCTCTGGGGGGAAATATGGCTCCTCTAATGTACCTTACAATAACCTTTCTCCTGTGCCTGCTTGCCTCTGGGTGGTCCCCTGGGATGGCTGTGAGGGGTCCTTTCATTGGATTGGTTCCCTGTGGGTTTGCTCCCCCCTCCACTTTGAATGGGGGTCTGACCAGCTTCCCCAGGACCTAGCCTGAGGTCCTACACTCCTGTCGCCAGAGGACCACCAAGGTAACTTTCTCCTGACCTAGCACTCTACCTGCTGCCCATCAACACTGGCTAATTAAGTCCTGTCCCAGGTTTCTGATTTCTGTATTTCCATAGTAAGGCCACCTGGGCCTTCAACACTGGCTAATTTAAATCCTGCCCCAGGTTTCTGATTTCTGTATTTCCATAGTAAGGCCACCTGCGCCACTGACCGCCCCCCCCATCCCCACACCCCCGACTGATAGAAATCTTGGCCAAGTACTCAGAACTCACCACTAAGGCATACCGTGGCCAAGGGCCCCGTGGAGAAAATGTGTCCACGTTTCCCATTGGCCCCCACCCCAACCTGTTACCAGCCAAATTGCACTGCTGAGGATGCTCTGAGCAAGCTTTTGGTTCCAGATCACTTACTCCTATTGCTTCCTCTAATGTTTTCAGGGTGTCTGCTTTGACGTTGAGGCTTGGATCCATTTGGAGTTGATTCTGGTGTAGGGTGATACGTAAGGCTCTAGGTTTAGTTTTCTGCAGGGTGATTAACCAATTTTGCCAGCACCATTTACTGGAGAGGCTGTCTTTCTTACATTCTATTTTTTGGCTCCCTTATCAAAGATTAGGTGGCTATGGGTCTGCATGCTTGTTTCTGGGTCTTCATTGCTATTCCATTGGTCCTCGTGTCTGTTCTTTTGCCAGATTACTATGGCTTTGTAGTAGAGTTAGAAATTTGGTACTGGTATTCCTCCAGCGCTAGTATTCCTCCAGCGCTGTTCTTGCTGCTAAGGATTGTTTATGCTATTCAGCATCTTTTACTGTTTCATATGATTTCTTGGACTAGTTCTATTTCCATGAAAAATTGGGTTGGTTAATTGATAGGTATCACATCGAATATGTACCTAGCCTTTGGAAGTATTGCCATTTTCACTACGTTAATCCTCCCAATCCAGTAGGATGGGAGGTTGTTCCACGTCCTGATTTCTGCTTTGATTTCCTTTTTCAGATTTGTAAAGTTTCCATTGTAGAGGTCATTCACTTCTTAGTTACCTCCTAGGAATTGGGGCCATTACCAAAGG